GTGTTACAATGTCCGGTGCAGATCAGTTCCTAACCTTTTTTTAAGATGTAAATTTCACAAACTTCCATAAGCTTCATAAGCGTGGTGGAGGGGATCAAGAATACTATCGTTTATCGAGATAATTTCTGAGATAATTTATTATCCAGCTAAATTTGTTATAGTGACAGGTCTTTACTACCCCAAAGCACAAAATTCTAAATTCTGTTCTTTTATTCTGCACTAGGAGTCCAGAGGAACACAAGATTTAAACAGAAAGATCTGAGCAGAGGTGGGCRTCATGCAGGTTGGAAGCAGCCTGCAGACCACTTTCTACAAACAAAAGTTTTATCTGTAACTGAATCCCAGTCTTCACTGTGACTCATGTTCAAATACAAAACAAAAGCGATCGTCAGCCTGTAAGGATGCTGGTGATACTTCTCCCACAATGCATTGTTAGGAGGGAAAACCCCCCAAAACATGTGCTGGCATAAAGAAGTGGAGAAACGTTCCTTTCAGGTGACAGCCACAATTTTGCAACTTTCCCTGGCAGGGTTCAGGAAAAGTTTAGTGCCCACACAATCCCTCAACAACCTCCGTCTGCAGCACCACGAGCACTCATGTCGTCAAACTCTGATGGAAGAATAATAACCCTAAATTTTAACAGTGTTACGGCATCAAAGCGCTTTTATACATGTGTGTGAAGAAGCTCAGCGCCGTCGTCATCTCTGGTGTTCTCCCAGTTAAAACTAAAGTTTACTTTTTCTCCTTTTATGTTTTGAAAGTACAGTGCTGCCTTCTCACAAGCTAATATCTGACTTTTTCCCCAATAAATGGCTCTGAAATCAAAATGTCAGACACTTTATGAAGTGTGTGAAGTGATAAGGGTAGGGTGGCTCACAGCAGAGTGGAAACCCGGAGAGAAAACGCTGTAAATTTAAAAAGTCACTCAGCCGGCAGTGATAACAGATAGAAATGATCACTGGGTTTTAATAGTAGTATATTAGTTTGTGGTGGTTTACATGATGTAATGAAAAAATGATTGTTTTGCCTTTTTCAGATGATCTTGTTGTGTTTTACCTGTTGTGGACTGAGTTAGCAGATCCTGGTAATCCAGCTGCCACTCCCTCCTGGGCCTTGCGGTTCGAGTTACCCAAAGATGGAGGACCCATCCCCGGTCCCGCTGACTGTGGTATGCTGGGAGAACTGGGACCCATGGATGGGTATGTGCGACTTTGGCTGCCTGGGCCAAGGCTGCGTCCTCCAGATATCGGCTGCCCGGGGCCCTGACCGTGCATGGGGCTGGTGGCGTTCATCCCCAGACTGTTGGTCATGCCGGGGCCGGGGCCGCTGTAGCTGGTACTGACCGCCCCGCTGTAGTTAGAGGGTCGAGGGTAGTTACCTAGAAAGAAGATATTTAAAAAATCAGCGTGATGAACTTTGCAATTAATTAAAGATCTGCGCTCGTCAGAAGTACAATTTCATTCATCAGAGATTCTTAACCCATGGGCCGCGGCCCAATTGTTGGCCGCGAGCGCCACCTTGAGGGCCTCAAAAGAACAAGAGTTTTTAACTTTGGGCCGCAGAGGGCCGTGGGACCGCACTGACTTTGAATAAGGTGCAATACACTTTCTCACCACTAGTAGCGGTAGTGCGACACTCAGATGTTTTACAACTTTTTTAATATGTAGAGGAAGAACCTTAGAAACCTGCCGGAAATGGAAACCTATTTTAAATCAAAAGTAGAAGCAAAAATGAAAGTAACTCATCAAAAAAACAAAAAACAAAAACAAAACAAAACAAAGCAAAACAAACAAACAAACAAACAAAAAAAAACACACCAAAGTTTGTCACTAATATGAAG